CAGCGAGGGCTGTATTGACGTGGAGTCATAATCTAGTAAGTGCGTTTGTAGGAGACAGACCAATGCACAGTTTGTTTAGCAAATCGGAGTAGTCCAAGGGGATGGTAGTCTCCGAAACGAAGAAAGATGTTGCTCCAATGGGACAGTTATCCAGGAGGGATAAGTCCCGGCTCTCCAGAGGGAGAATCATGTAGGATGGACCTCACATGTTGAGGAGGGGTATCTCAACAAACAATAACTCCATGAAGTGCAATGGACCAAGTAAGCGGTGAGGAGTCGTCGTATAATCTCGCTTGAGAGAATGTGTTGGTGGATGCATTGAGAGATCAAGTGGGGGAGCGACCCAAAGGAACACAAATGAAGGTATACTTGGAGTCGATGTGGAGATCAGACTCAAGAGAGGGCTGACCCGTGGAATGGTAGGCGCGAGGGCCACAATCAACTCAATGCAAAAACAAGGAGCGGAGCAACTTGTGTGTAACTTGGCGAAGTACCCAAGCCGCATGAAGGGAGCCAGCATAGAAGAGGGAACATGGAGCGGAGGCATAATGCTTTCCTTGGACAGAGGTCAAGGACATGAACTCTTGTAGAGGCAAGAGCAGGATCATGTTGTTCCATGGGTCCTTCATTCTGACGGAGCAGACTCATCTTGCATAGTGCCCAAAGACGAAGGGAGCTTTTGGGCACATGCACCTTATCTCAGAAAAACATTTGATGGAGGAACTAAGGCGAAGTTGGGTTCAGAAGGCCTTAGCACGGGGCAAGAGGACGCAGAGAGAGTACTCTTGAAGAATATGCCACAGTGTTACCATTCAAGTTGCCATGAAGGAAGCGGTGCACAGCGAAGATTGTGCTGGTAGGGGCAGAGGCCCAGGATCCAGACAATGGTGCACTAATTACAACGAAGTTGGGGGACTTTAGGAGCTACTAGGCGACGGATTGTCCTAGAGCGGTGTTTCATCTAGGTGTGACCCAAGAGTGGGTGAATGAAGGTCGATTGCCAAAGGAGCGAATAAATTCGAAGGTGGAAGAGACCCTGCGATGTATTGGCAGAGGCCACACATGGAGGGATCACAATTTGAGTTCATCCCACAAGGATCAGAATGCAATAGAGATGTCACCAGGAGGCAATATGGTGCAGCGGATCATGGTGGAACAGTTCGTGGCAATGTGATACACACGATCTAGTCCCATGAGGGACTAGGTCATACAGAGGTATGATCGGGAGCTACTGGAAGCTCCACTTCGGTGAACAACACGACGGTAAGAAGGGCTATGGATTCAAGGAGTGAAGGCCATGGTACCGCAGAGGCGGGTATTCCGTGTATGCATCGAATTTTGCATCAGATGAAAGCCTTGGTCATCAGCATATGGGGGCTATGTTCCACCAAGGGAAAAGTTCGAATGCAAGTACTAGTGAGTCCCATGGGAGGGACTTGATCATGCAGAGGTATGATCGAAGCAGAGGTATGATCGAAGCAGCTAGAGAGTTGGACTGCTCCAAAGCCCATATTCGCTTAAGGGAGCCCGGCAAGTCAGAGGATAAGGTCGAGTAAGCGAACATTGCTACTAAGGAAGCTAAGGAGAACAGAATCGATGCAAACCCTATAATGCGATGGCAGAGGCCATACATGGGAGTTGCAATCTGTCTTTCCATCGACCAAAGGGAGCTGCTTGGAGAACACAGAGGTGTTGAAGCAGGGGGTCGAAAGGGGCGAGGAAGCGACAACGAGTCCAAAGGGACTTAGCTACCCAAAATCAAGCATCAGTTAGAATAGAGGTGGACTTGGAGGAGTGCCATAGAGGCATATCTACTGATTGTGAAGAAAAGTGATGCAGATGCGAGGCGATGGATAGTAGTGCCATGGGCATGGCAACGCCATGGTACCGTAGAAGCGGGACTTCGTTGAAAGTCATTGATCCCTTGCTCTCATTGAGGGAGAGCGCTTGGTCGTGAAAGGGGCCGACGAGGTAGAGCATGTAGAGACAAACTCCAAGTACCGAGATAAGGTTGAAGGGCAGAGGCCAAGGAACTTCGTAAGACCGGTGTCAACGAGCTTTTCATCAAGATAGCCGAAAGTGAAGGACTTTGGGTCAGGCAAGAGTGCATGACCAAGGAATGAAGCAGACAGTATGCGATGCTATACCTTTGCTACTCAGTGGAGTAGGCAACAGGGTTGATGGAGAAGACGGTATAATCCCAAAGGTGACCAAACCTATGAGAGAATCACTCCAAGTTGGGGTGAAAACTTCTTGCATTCTAGAGGTTCGATGGCATTGAGAAGGTGAATCACAGTAACTAACTCAATGCAAGGAGTGCAAACACTTCAAGTGCTTCAGAAGTGTGAGCAAAGAGCAGGCGAAGGCCAGTAACCAACTCGATGCATGGAGTACAACCTTGAGGAGGTGGGCGAAGTCAAGTAACCTTTGCCTTCTCAACTCTTAAGAGAATGGGCAAAACCGAGTACCCCAATTCTCTTATCTATCCAGTAGAGGAGCTCTGCACATGTTCAAAGACCCTTCGAAGAAAATAGAAGACAATAGTTGTCAAATCCTCACCAACGGTGATCAGTGCTACTGAGAGTAGATTGTCCGCTTCATTTCCCAACGAACTGCCAATCGAAAATGGAAGTGATGCGAACCTACTTGGAAGTGACAACTAAGTGAAAGAAGAGTCAATGGGCAAATATTATGGAGGAAGGACCTAAAAACTTTAGAAGTTTGTGAGACGATGTTCGTTAAAGCTCTAACAAGTATCCACCCAGTTCAAGTAGCATGAGCATTTGAGAGATTGTCGTATAGTAAGGATGGTCTTTTCCTTTATTTGGAGGATCTGCAAGAACCAATAGGGATCAACACAACTCAGCCAACCCCACACTAGAGTTAGAGTCATTGGCGAGTTGAAGCTGCATGGCAGATCAAAGGTTCGACTACTCAAAAACAATAGCGGAGAGCAGTTGGGAGCCCAAAGGTGCATTGTAGCTAGAGTAGAAAATTGAAGACTCAACAAAGGCGAGGAGTTGCAGGGCCGATAAAGGCTTCGACGAGGACGTCGAAGGAATAAGTGGGGGAGAATGTCACATACAAACTTCGAAACAAGATGTTTGATGTAATGCTTATGTATGTACATGTCTTTTGGTATGTTCATGCTCTGCACAACATGTAGAGGGATGGCCGAAGGCTTAATAGTCCCATTTTAGTTAGGTTGGTGGCCACTTTAGGCTTGTAAATAAAAGGTTGTGTCATGTGGACACATGTGAGAGATTTTTGGTCTATAATGGACCATTTTGACCCTTTATTGTGTAACTATTCAGGGCTTGTAAAGTCTGTTTGTAATTTGCATTGTCTATGAAGTGTTTCCTGCAATGTTTGATTGTGGATCTCGAATGAGACGTTTTCTCTAACCTATTCTCTCTTTTGTGGGTCTTAAGGGACCGTGGGAGGCTTTGGGGAGGCTGACTTTTGCGGACGGACATGCAAGGGTGCCACACGACTTAGGCAAAACTAGCTAAGTCCGTGACAGAACGTCCGGACTTCCGACGAACACTCGAACTCCTAACGAAGTCTCGTTCTTGACTCTGGGACTTCATTTTACTTTATGCCTTGATCGCTATCATAGTTAATCATGCACACTTAAAACCTACTTCTATCTAGACAATTATTACAAAGCTTGAATCAAATATTGTCTGACATATCATTGGTTCATTGATGCTTCATTTGATTCTTTGACGCATCATTCTCTCTTGCGGCCTATTGCCCAATCGTCCAGTTTACCTCTATAACTCTGATTTTCTTGGTCAAATTTCTGCTTTTCTTAGCCTAATGCCCAAACCCATGGCCCGAAGCCTTCTGCCGATACGTCGATCGATCCTCCGGCTCGACGTCTAATCTTCTAACATGTTTTTCTTCGGTCCAATATGATTCTTCTTGTTTTAATTGTCTCTCCTTGATCGAAGCTTCCTGCATCAATCAAAACGCAGATCAAATCATAAATACTATAAATTAATTTTATCATCAAAATATGAGATTAACATATATAACATATACACATATACACATGACTCTGTGCTGTAATTGTGACCGAAGTGCAACGTACCTAAAACTCATGATTTGAACATAATCATTTTAGAACATTTACGAGTCCACTTCTCGGTTTAAGGAATTGTAATCTTATATTGCCAATGAAGATCTGACATCAAAAATAACTTCCAATCAATCTGATAACTGTTACTTCATAACACCAAAGAGAACCAACCTTTCGTCCTCGCTTAAACGAAGTTGGGGATGCAGGCCTGGAACTGTTCCAGCGTTCGTCTGATCAGAACTCAAAACAAAGTGCTTAAGCAACCAGCCACAGTCGAGAAGAAGTTGTTCCACTCGGTGTGGTTTAGAGTCAACATTAATTGTAGCAAGGTAACTATATCTCGATTAAATGGCAGGAACGTATAAGTCAATTTGTAGTAAAACAGTGTTGACCAAAATATTGTACGTCGACTCCACAAGTCACTATTGCCTTAAGCGAGCTTCTCTGTCCCATTGGCTTGTCATCACTCGAATTGCTGCGTGTAGGCTCTGAAGGAGGACCATAACACACTGATAATTGAAGTGTTGAATTTTACCATCAAATCAGCCTTTTGATGCAACAGTTTTAGAGAAACGTTACGAGGGATGTCTCGATCCAGCATGTAGATGATTGTCGAAGAATCTTAATGCACATCCAAGTAGTCCAAAAGGTTGCGACTTGACCTGATGGACTGACACGACATGAAGATGAGTTGTGAATACAGACCATCAATAAGTTGCAAGCTTTTTTCATTTAGGAAGCATAGATGCTTTTAATTTCGTCAAACGCAGCAACATGGCTTACAAAGAAATGATGATGGAAAGACTTCTTTGGACGAGGAATAATGTGATATGGTTCATCATAGTGTTATAGTGGGTGTATGAAATAATTCCAAAACATTCAGAGAAGATTAATCTTGAACATAAATCGTCCATCATTTAGCAAAGGAGAAATTCTTCCAATTTTCATGCACTGCAATATGGTTTACAAGATCTTACATTAAGCTTTGCTTGCTATAGCCACTCAGAGCCTCTAAAATAACACTGATATAGAGACCTTTATTTCGTCTACAAGTAATTAAGCATAATGACGTCGAGCAGTAACCCACTCCTGCAGCAAATCCTGGTATGGATAGCGGTCGTAGGAGCGTCCGACTTCAATCAAACAGGAACGGGTTGGACAAGCAACAGAGTGATACGATCTTTCATGGTAGTGTTGGAATGGGTGTATGAGTCGATATTCTTGTGTGAGTCTTCCATGGCTCGTGGCAAGTTAACTAATCTTTCGAGTAATGGCATGGGGACTGCAGTTGGATTCAGACATTCTTTGTTCATATCCTTCCATGCATCTTGAACCAACATCTGCAGCTTCTTGCATGCCTCATTTGCATCAGTGCCGTATTGTTTCATGCAGCATTCTACTGTGGAAGCAGTGTGTCCTCTTTCTTGTTCCAGCTGCAACATTACCGACGGCTAATTATTTAGTCATTGTCATTTTGTAAAAGGTAATCTTCGATTCAAAAACTTGCGTTACCAATCCTATTTAACTTATGGGATAAGAAAATCTAGCATAGTCATTTAAATTAGGGGCTTTGTCATAGACTTTGATATCTGTATTGGCTAGTTGTATTCAGGTATCGGTAAAATTGACGAGTACCAATATTCCATCATTTCAAACCACCTCTTGTTCACTAAAATGATCATTAAAATGACAAGAGGAGCTCTGCAGATCAGAGCAAAAAAAACTGATCAACTGAGAGGACCACTCCTCTCTCCAAAAAATGAGTGAAATGGTCACTAAAATGATTAATTAATTATTAACATGATGGACTTGAAATGTTCATGAGTAAACCCAATGACAACAAAAAAAAGCCTCTTATTTCTTTTTGCAAGTTCGCTACAGATGGCTTGTGCTAAATAGCATTCATAACTCACGATAACTTTGTAGGAGCAAAATAAGAGAAAAAAATTCAAAGCAAGTGTTTGTAGAAACTAATACCTCATGTGAATTTATATCATCCAAGACGCGACAAATTATTGAGGAAGCTTTGAGGATCGTAGGATAACTTGTAACCCATTCAAATGCCTCTTTTGTTGCCACTTCTCCCATGGCCGCAAAAGAGGCACAAGCAAGCATGGATAATGTAGTTGTCATCATTGATATATGTAAATGTTCTTCTACTGTTGGCACATATCCTTCCACACCCCATTTGGATTCCTCAAAATAAAATCTGGCCAAGGTTTTAATCTGCATTCAAGGCAAAATAAGATACATGAATTCATAATAAGGAGATCCAGTGAACTATACTGATTAAAGGCACAGCAACACACTTCTTCCTTTAGATATAGCATGCGATACTTCTCCTCTGGTGCTAGCTCATCTTTCATTTCTTCCAAGTTATTGATCAGCTTGAGATAATAGTCTTTCATGTAGTCTGGTAGCTGATCAACAGCCTGGGCTTCCCACCTAAATATAGAACTTAATGATCCTTAAAAAACGTAACTATGATATAATCATAACAATTATGTTCGCTATATCATAACATATATTATCATAAGATAAAATAATAAAGAACTTCAATACATACTAATATTCTGCATATGAAAATTTCAAACCTTTGGATAGCATCGGTAAGGAGTCGGCTCTCCTCTAGTGTGCTATAGTTATCATAAATATCATCCATGATAGAAGCCAGGGCTGTCAATTTGGCAGTCATCACTCGTGCACGAGAATAGCGAGGTTCACTGAACACTGCATGCATCCAATAATAGCATTCCACCAATCGGTCTCGGACAAAACTTAGACTCTCGGCGAGGGCCAAATCCTTCCACCATCTTGATTGCATAACAAACAATCAATAAGTTATTCACAACTCAAATAAATGATCTCCTGACCTTGTTAATATTTTTTTCTCTAACACGTTACAACATATCATGTAACATGAAGCTATTAATCG